CTTATTTATTTGACACACAGAGAGAGACAGCTAGAGAGGGAACACAAGCAGGGGGAGCAGGAGAGGGAGAAGCAGGTTCCTGGCTGAGCAGGGAGCCCAATGTGGGGCTTGATCCCAGGACCCTGGGATCATGACCTGAGCCGAAGGCAGATGCCCAACTGACTGAGCCACCCAGGCACCCCTTCTTCTCCCTTTTTATTCAGTTTTAAAATGCTAACAATGGCCATTACCCAGACATATCTATCCAAGCCTCGCAGTTGTTTTACACTCCAATCAGACTTCTCTTTCTCCTTTTGTTTCCCCACTTGCACCAGCTAGTACCAGAGGCACTATGGTCAGAGTTTCTGTGTGGCGGTTGCTCAGGGGAGGGTGAAAAGGTGGAAAAAGCTGGGTTGTCATTGCTAGTGACAGACTGGAGAAATGCATTCTTGTTGTTGTATGTTGGAGACCAGAATACATTTTCTCATAGAAACAATATGATAAATGATTTTGAATGTAGATATAAAAGTATATTTAGCATAGTTATTCATGTACATATGAATTAAATGAGCTCTGTGACTTTGCTTATGAATCTAACCAATCATTAACTGAATTCCAGCAAAGATATTTTAAACTGAGCTTTTGGACTGTAATCATGTTTAGTATGCCTTGTGTAGTTCATTTTAAATGTATTTATGTCTTATTCTTATATTATAAACTACTTGGCAGTATAGGCCATCTCTTCTACTTCTTTATGCTTCCCTACATCTTCTAGCTTAAGGATTATGACTGGTTGGCCAATGGATTATTACAAAGATGTCAGCCAGTAGACCATGGAATACATTTGGAATTCTTTTATTTTCCCTGATTTACCCCCATTTCCTTGGCACTAATTGTCCAAAGAAAAAGACTCACAAATGCCAAAAGAAATGGGGCTTTGAATAATCCACTGATTTGCTTACTTTTAATGATGGCTGATTTGTCAGTTATAACTCAGCCACTCAGTTAAAGTCTAGGTCACCAATAGAAATAAAGTATACATGTATCAAAAGCAAACATGGAATGTATGAACACATGACCATTTGGCTATGTGTATGCATGTGTGTCTTAGATTCTAACTTTGTTGGGTATCTAGTGTTATTCTAGAGGTATCTGTTTGTATGTTCTATTGCTTTTGCTGGCCTCTTTCTATTTAATTTTTAGAGAAAAATATATAGGGGGATGTCAAAATAGAAAAAATAATCCATACATTGCAAAAACTATAGGAACTAACATGATTCAATTTAGAAATAGGTACAGTTCACAGAATGCCACAGTTCAGGGAGCAAAAATTGATACATGTTGAAATTGAAAATGATTCTTTTATAAAGAAGCTGACCAAAATTTCCAGCAGGACTGTTGCCTGAAGGAAAATTTCCTAGGCTCCAGCCTCTGTTATGCTTAACAATGAACCATACAAGTCTGGACAGATGGTTGGATTCCAAAGTGTTTCTCATGTTACAGTATTTTCTTCCTATTGTCTCTCCTGAATTCTACAGGGAAAAGAGAAAATGCTATAACTTTCAAAAAGTATAAAGAATATCTTCAGTACATTTTTGGAAGTCACAAGTACTGAACATTAATTATCTCAAAAATCTTCTTCTTTTTTTTTTTTTTAGAAATACTTTCTTGGTTAAAATCAAATTCATCCCAATAAAATCAAAATTATTCTTGACAGTAGGACTTATCTTTCTACTATCTTTATTGCTAGAAATACAAAATCTAAGATGTATTTATGTCTTGTCCATTCAACTTTGAGCTATGGTGAAGGAGAAACTTGGGACTCATTTTTAAGACATTTCATATCCATCCAATAGCAACACTGCATTTATTCTCTAAACAGCTCCCAAATTTGTCCAATTTTCTATATCTCTATGACTCTGGTCCAAATTGATGATATTTTTTCACCTAGATTGTTGCAATAAATGCCCAACTGATCTACCTGCAATCACCTTCTTCCTCTCTGCCCCCAGTGCACACTACAGCCACAACAGAATGAACTTTTTCCAGATGCAAATCTGGGGTCATGTTCCTCCTGCTACCAGTAGTTTCCTATGACTCTTAGGGTAAACACAAAATTCCTTACCTGCCATACAGAGCCCTGAACAGCCCCTACTTAGCTCTCCAAACTCACCTCATATCAACTTTCTCCTTTTATCCCTAGTTCAACTAATTTGGCCTTCTTTCATTTCCTCTATATTTCTTTCTACATTAGGTCCATTCCTCACCATTTTAACTTCATTAAGCCCTGTTCTTACAGAGTTTAATTCCAGCATCACATCCTCAGGGAATCCCCCATTCACCCGCTCTCGTTTTACCCAAATTATTAGGTCAAGTCCTGTTGTTTGTCCTCACAGAACCACATAGCTTATCTCTCTTTCACAGCACTTAGACAAAAGGAAGAGATTTATGATCCTGTGCATTAGGCATTGGGGTTACAAGTGAGGGAACAAAAGCAGAGTTATATTTATTTAGTAATCAACCTCTAAGATTCAAGCCAACCTTTCTAAACCACAGAGAAAAGTATACATAAAAATAATATACTTAAGTGTTCTCAAAAGAGCCAGGAATTATTCAGTAAATAAGTATCAGATATTCTTCAGCAACAGACAAGCTGTTGAGTATGTAATTTAAGACCTGGAAAGATATTGGCAATTGTTCCCACTTAACCCCCATAAAATACAGATAAGAAAAATGAGTCTCAAAAGTGAATCTCAGAGGTCTCACAAATAGTTAATGATAGAGAATGAAGTAGAACTAGTCATAAATATCCGTTGAACACTATTATGTGTAACAGTTTTCTTATATCCAAGTCCGCTTTTCTATTACATGCTATTTCTGTTTAAACATTTACAGAAACAGAGCAATTAAAATTTATTTCAATTGGTTACTTTCTACCTTAAGAGGATGATATGGTGCCAATAAAATATTACTATAAGCCTTTAGACAAAGGGGTGATGTGCTATTAAAATTCTATTACAGTACATTTTTATTTCTCTGTGCATGAACTCTTCGTATTTTCTTATTATACCCCTCTTTCTACATGAAGTCCTTAAAAACACCCTAGCAAAGAGAATCCCTTACTTGCTTTTATTTGAAGAAAAGTGAATGTGTCTTATTCACGCATAGCTAATTTCAGGCAATGTTTGTTAACTGTCTCAATCATCAGCTGCATTTCTCAATCTCCATACCAAGCTCCCGTTCTAGCTACATCTCCCTTTTTTCAGGAATGCTGGGAATGGAATGCCATTGCTACATGGCCTCTTGCTCATGCTAGTCCACTAATTAGCTCTCTGACCAGCCCTTATTTCTTACTTCCTTTCGTAGAAAGGCAAGCTAATGGCCAGCTCTTACTACACAACATTGACTTAAAAACACTTGAGCTAAAAAAGGGACATTGAAAACCATTTAGTCCAACAATCCAAACCATGCAGGAATACTTTCTGAAACATATTAAACAGAAGAGCGATTTAATTTATAGATATGCTTAAATGCTTCCAGTAACTAATTCCTCACAATCTCACTTTCATGAATACTCTTTCAAGTAACAAGAATTTTGTATCCAAGTACTCTACTTGTGTTCTTCACCAACAATACACAATTATTTTAAAGAAACAAGCCTGTAACATCCAAAAACTTAGCTTTGGCAGTTTATCTGTGTAAAGAATGTGTGTATGTTTTAAAATCCAAAGCATATGGACTATACCAGTCAGGTTAGAATGAAAAATGAAAAGTGTAGGTTACACAATTAGCTCATCTTTCATTCTGTGTTCCTGTTAAGTCTTAGAATAGAAAAAAAAAAGATATAAAAAATATTTTCTTGCTATTTAAAATTCAAAACTAGCTTCTCAAAGTGAGGCTTTTTTATCCCAACACCTACACAGTAATTCACTGCTTTAATATTTTCAATGATTACCTCATTGCGAGAATAAGCTGGGAGACAAAGGACAGGAGCCATCCATTTATCTGTTGCTTTCCTCCCTTTCAGACTCTCTTGCTTTGGCAATAAAATACTATGTGCCCTATAAGAGTGTCTAAACCAGAGGGCAACTCCACAATCTATCCTGGCAAACTCAGTAAGAGTTTCTTTGTTTCATTTGTTCATTGTAAACAAAACAAAAGGAAGTTCGTTTTGTTTACAATGTACATTCTTTAATAAAGGGAAGACAGACAAAAAGATTTGTTAATCTAGTAACTTTCTGGTATTTATTTGCCAGGCATTTTTGTACTGTCAGTAATTTATTTTGTTCTTGAAATTACCTTGACTGTCATAGATCATTACAGTATATTCATATTTACATATGTAATCTCTCTACTGTACATGTTAAATAGCAATGTAAGTGGATTCATCCACCCATATGATAAATTCATCCATATGATAGATCTAGGAAATTGGGTTTTCTGAGATATCATTTCTCTATTTTATTTGGCAAGGTGCCTGGTTGTGAAGAGCTTTAAATTTGGCATCTGTCATTGCCTATCTTGGTCCAAATTATACGATGCTAAATACCATGAAGAATACTTCACAGGGGAAATCAGTAGCAGGTTATGAGAATAGTAAACTTCATATCACCACGTGCTTATAACTGAATATTAGAACTGTTAGCCAGATGCTTCCTGTGGACTTCCAGAGAGACAGAAAAATGTGGTGCCACTGGGATCCAGAGGTACTGATGTGAAGTATGCAGAAGATACATAAATCATAGGGTATGTTCATTTCATTTGGCTTCGTGGGATTCCGCTGACATCACTGCGGGTAACCAAGGTCTGCACCAGGAGCCTCTCCCTTCTGCTCTCTGATGCCTTCGAGGTGCTGCCCATCTAGACCAGGCCCTGCAGTAATTTCACACACTCCCCTAATAAAGTCCTCCGGGGCTGTCATGTATTTTCATGTGTTTGCCCTATTATCCCTCCCTGCTTGAGCCTTACAGATAATTGATGATGCTTCAGTTAATCATCTTTCTCCCGCTTTTGTTCACCAGGTACCTCCGCCTTGAAGGGGCTCTTTTATTGAGAATCGATGTCTTCTTCTGCGTAATTGATCACCATAGACCCAGGGACACTTGACTCATCGTTGAGGAAGAGTGATCATCATGAATAATCAAAAAGCTGTAGCTACACTACTGCAAGAGTGCAAGCAAGTGCTGGACCAGCTCTTGTTGGAGGCGTCAGATGTGTCGAAGGAGGACAAGAGCGAGGACCAGCAGTGCAGAGGTGAGGTCCTGATGGGAGGCACTGGGGGGAGGGAGAAGCCAGCAGGTTCGCTCTCAACTCCCCTGCCTGAACGACATGTTTTCATCTCTGCCCTATTTTTCTTCTCTTGGCAGATGACCACCGAGAGATGAGTGGATTTCTAGGGCATGAATGGGACATGGGCTGCAGGCGGACGGGCAGGGGAGGAAACCCACTTTGTTGCAGTGAATTGCTGTCAGTTCTAATTTTAGGCTTCAGTAAACATGAGGCCACAAGAAAACAGTTTAGTTCAAGAAGAACAAAGGGTGCAAGTCTGCCGGTGCACGTAAATTTCAATTATTAAAAAATTGAAGCAACTTCTGAATAGTGGCACATACTTTTTTTTCAAACGAGGCTTTTGTGCCTCATCGGTTTCCATAGGCTTCTATGGTTTCCATAAATATGTCATTTCATTGGTCCAATCTCTCTTTTTTTGATTATCGATACATTTCTCATGCTGTATTCACATGCTGTTTGTAAAATAAATCCTCTCACACTGATAAATACTGATTGCAACATTATCAGAATTGAATTGACCTTTTGCCCATTTCATAGTTTATGCCATTCACAGTTTTACATAGGTCATTGTTTGGGAAGTTTTGATCACAAAGTCTGGAAAGTTGAAGTATTTCTTATCTCCCCCATAGCCAGTTTTGAAGAGAGAAACTTCTTTCCTTAGATTGCTTTATAGCATTTGAATAAATGTTCCTCCATTTCTATAAGTGTGTCCCTTTTATGTGCTTTTAATATTTTTCTTTGTATTTTTAGTGATTTGCTATTCCTTGCAGAAATAAGATGATCACATAAAATGCACACTCCCCAACTCTTTTGTTGTTGATGATTATGTAATGGGGAAAGGTTCTGGAGAAGCCACACATTTTTTACAGAGGCACTTTTAGGTACCTATAAAGGTCTTAAATTTTTCTAATCTGTCATTTATGCACATTTCAAGATAAAATGCCCTATATCCCATTGTTTCACAACACCTCAGTTTATGTGATTTCCTTATTTACTAACCAGATACACTGCTGTGTGCTTTTGCTTGCTAGTTATATGTGCCCATCAGCCTGAGCACACACTGACAGGTGTTAGCCCCTTGTCAGGGAGCGGCAGGTACTTGGCACCTCCAGAACGTGCTGCAGTTCTCCCCAGGGGCAGTGTGTTGTGTTCTATCTACTGAAGTTTCTCCTCTTGTCCTTTTACTACATGGCATCCTTTGTCTACTCAGCCCAAATTCCTTTAAGCTTTGTGTTCTCCCTCGTGAAAACTCAGAGCGCCCAGTTGGGTAGCATTTTCTTCTTTTTCTTCCCAAGTGCCACAGAATAGGAGAAATAATCAGTTTAGTTCCAGATAAGGCACATCAGGGCCACAAAATCACTCAATTAGCAACGGCTCTTCAGGTAAGCTGCTTGGGGAAGGAAGTGATCAGAGAGGCAGAAGAGGGTATTGCTCCGTCAGGGGCTGACTGATGGGCTTGGCTGAATCTGGTGAGCCAATGGGGGGAGGAAATCTATGCTGAGCCATTGACAATCTCAGCATTAATCCATCCCCGTGGAGGCAAGCTGCAGGGTCCCCCCCACGCGCCATCAGTACAACTGAGTTCAGTCTGAGCACGGAGTTCTTCCCTTAGCAGGTGGTTTCTGTGTGATACTGGTGGGCGGGTTGTGCTGCCACCAAAGTTGTCACTCGTGTGTACTCCAAGGGAAAGACATTAGTACGGGGTCACCTATGGTGACAGGACAAGTCAGAGGACTTGAACGTGATCACTGTGATTTTATTTTTTCCCTTCCTCCTCTCAATCCTAACCTCTTCACTCAGAAATTGTCCTTGTCAGCATGGGAGACTGCCCTTAGCAACTTCCTCAGAAATAGAGAAGGAACCGAAATCTAAACACAGATACATTTTTAAAATGTATTTCAGAGGCATCACTTATTTCGGTATGCCACACTGGACTCTCCATGCTCTGGCATGATCCGCAGGGAGAGGGTGGAATGAGGAAGGCAAAAATGAGTTGTGTAGAACAGATTTTCTCTGTCATCATGAAAAAAATTGAAAATATTTAAACTATTTCGTGCCAATGTATGGTGAAACTCTTTGAATCTAGATATCAGATTCCTGTTGTCATTTGACTATTCATTTGACTCCTGAGCTTGATACTCATGGACAGAATGTCCAAATAATTTGTCAATCAAATGGGACACTTGAGAGCGAGAAGGAGCAATATAAAGAAGTCCACTAGGAACACATAGGACTGTCCTAAGTGAACAAGACTTAATAGTCATCCTATTCCTGACTATTTACAAATATCATTTAAGAAACTTTCTTTAGGGGCACCTGGGTGGCTCAGTCGGTCAAGCAGCCGACTCTTGGTTTCAGCTCAGATCGTGATCACAGAGTCATGGGATCAAGCCCTGCGTCGGCCTCTGCGCTCAGTGTGGAGTCTGCTTCAGATTCTTTCTCCCTCTCCCTCTGCCCCTTCTCTCTTTCAAATAAATAAATACAATCTTAAAAAAAGAGAGAGAAATTTTCTCTACATAAATATATTGGAACACTTTTGACCGTCAGGGGGCCAGGCTTCCTAGCAGATTATGACCACGTAGGTCCCTAATGCCAGGGCTCTGCTTCCTTTGGAGGAGTGCTTCCTCACACAGTCGGTGCTCAGTAGTTCTAGGTTGCTGAATCAGAGAGCAGTGATTTCAGTGTGATATTTATAAATCATCCTCAGTAGTCGGTAAGGATTACTCACTGGTGTGGCCCATTTGATATCTCCTCAGTGCCAAGCAATGTTTCCCCATTAGCAGTCTTCCCTACATTTGCACAGTTGGTGGCAAGGACACAGAAGGGCATCGTGAACTAGGGCAGAGTTAGGTTTTCTTCCTCCTCTTCTTTTTGTTTTTTACTCTCTCTGTCATATCTCTTTTGTCCTGTTTAGCATGTTTCATGTAGATATAAGACTAATCCTTCTTTTAACCATCATGGTGTGATTTGCAACAGTGATAAGACATGATGTCTGTCTTCGGGGAGCTCACAGTAAAATGAGAGGAAAGTGTGATGACAGAGCAGTGGGATGAACACTGAAAGGCCATGCATTTTGGGGTTTGGGAGCACTCAGGAGGCACATTTTAATTCCACGGGGTGGTCATGGCAGGCTGATGAGAAGTAGTCATGTTTGCATTGAAGCCAGGGAGCCTGAGCTTGACCATGAAAGGACTGAGGTAGGGCAATGCAAAAGTGAGGACAGGAGATACAAAACCATTAAAGAATTTTATTCAGGGCAATGACCTGGTCTACCTTGTGTTTTAGCAAGATGGGGATCAACAGTGTGGAAGTTGGAGTGGATGGGGCAAGGTAGGAAACAGTGGTTCAGACAAGAGTTACAGATAATGAAAAGGAGGAAATGGATTTTAGGATCTACAGAATTTGATAACCAGTTAGGTTGACGGGGAAGAAAGAGCAAAAAGTCTAGAGTGACTTCTAGGTTTTGTACTTGGGTGACTCAGTGAATGGTGGTAGCATGCATCAAAATAAAGAATAGAGAAACAGATTTAGAAAAAAGATGGTGAGTTCAGCTTTAGACACTTTCTTTAAAAGATTTTATTTATTCATTATTCATTTGAGAGAGAGAGAGAGCACATGCAGAGGGGAGAGGCGAGGGAGAGAGAAAAGCAGACACCCCACTGAGCAGGGAGCCCAATGTGGGGTCTGATCCCAGGACCTGGATGGAGATCATGACCTGAGGTCAGATACTTAACCATCTGAGCCACCCAGGCACCCCCAGCTTCAGATACTTTTGAGTAGGAAATGTCTGCAAGACAAGCACCTAGAGCTTTATAACTGGCAGTCATGTAATCAAGTCCATCATCCTGAATGCTGGGGCTTCACATGTGCTTCAGCATTCAGAATTTTTCAAATGTTAGGAAGGTAGTATGGTGCAGGGACCATCCATTACATTCATACTCCAGCAGAAGCTGGGGCAGCATCTAGAGTCAAACATTAAAATTTTTGCAACAAAACTTTGGCTAATCTCACTAAATAAGATAAACAAGCGATAAAGTGCCTCTAGTCAATTCAAGTCTGGTTAGGGTGCCAAACTTAAGAAAAAATATTCTAGTTTCCCGAGCTTTTTGGGTTTTCCACGTTTGGATAGGAGATCGTGGACCTCCGTAATTAGGTGTGGTGCCCAGGAAGAGATTGAACGTATCTACTAACATGAAACAGGGCCATTTCACAATAAATTGGTACCATTTCAAATTTCGTTTGGGTTTTTTGTATTAATCACCTATATTCAAATGTAGTCTGTAGTGAAAGTATGCAATGAAGTGAGGTGAGGTCTTGGAGAACTAAAAAGAGGTTGTACAAATTGACTCTCTGCCTTACCCAGCTACCACAAGTCCCAGATGTCATTCCGTCTCAGTCCCTTTCTCATTTTACAGGGAAAATAATATTTCCTTCATTCCTTTCTCTGATTCTTCATGCAGAGATAGTCACTGAAGTGCTTTACTTCCTGCTAAAAACCTTTCTTAATGCCTGACTACCCCAATTTACCTGAAGGGCAAAGTAGACCAGGGCCACCCCTGACAGATAGCTTTGCGCTATTATTCTTTGAGTCAGAACCACCAGCTTTAGACCGGCCAGTAAGATGTAGGAAAAATGTTTTTTTGCCGCCACTGAGGTGCTTCATCATAACATTGGTAACTCAACAGCCTTTTCTTTGACTGCAATTTCCTTACCTGAACTCTGACCTTTTCAGCTTCACTCCCCAGTGAGTTAAGGACCCTGATCCAGGAGGCAAAGGAAATGAAGTGGCCCTTCGTGCCTGAAAAGTGGCAGTACAAACAAGCCGTGGGCCCAGAGGACAAAACAAACCTGCAGGATGTGATTGGCGCCGGGTTGCAGCAGTTACTGGTAGGGAGAGCCCCACCACCTGTTCCTCTGACACCCCCAAGTAAGGCATTTAGCCTCTAAGTGGTCTAATAGATTAAATTTCTTTGAAGCATAAGACAGCCCCTACCCTTATGGTCAGCTCTGCCAGATTGACTAATGTGGGGGAAATGGCTTTTAGAAAGCATCGCCTGCCTGTAAGACCTTCTGTTGGAAAGCCAAGTCAAGTAAAAGTGGAGAAGGGTGGTCAGTGGGTCTAGTGAGAAACCTGTCATCCTGAAATATTTGTTATATCCTTGGTAGGCCAGAAGCAGTAGTTTTCTTTCTGTCATGTCTCATAACATTTTTATTTTGAAATGCTCCTTTTTTAAAGTTTATTCCATCAGTTTACATGAGAATGTGTTTTTGGGTCATCCCAAAATAAATGTATAGATATTGTCTTTGCCTATCAAAACAAAAATCTGGGAAAGGTTCCCTGATCCACATACATATAATGGCATCTTTGGAGGCTTAATAGAATAACAAAACCCCCACTTTTCCCACACCCCTCCCCCCAAAAATAAACAGACTGCGGTTAAGTAGACCGGGGGCTGCAGGCAAAGGAAAGTGAACACTTGGAAAGAATGCAGTGGTGAGCCAGGGATTTTAAATTAGCAGACTTGGCATAGGTGGAAAAGTGGAATGGAATAAAAACTATAATTTGTGTATCACTGTAGGATTTTACAAAGCGCTTGCACATGCATCACCTCATTTAATTCTCAAAATGGCCTTCCAGTGATTATTACCATTATCATCCCCATTTTACAGATGAGGAAATTAAGGTGCAGGGAGATGAATGTGCCCAGGGGAACAGACCAGTGAGTGGTAAAACTACTCTTTCCTCCATCTCACTGCCAATTCGCCCTCAAGAAGCCCCAAGTAAAGAATTCGAAAACACAGGTAAAATCCCTGAGACTTGTTTACCCTAAAGCAAGTTGGAGGTTGTCCAGCAGAGCTTCCTGCAATGTTGGAAATCTTCCATATCTCTGCTGCCCAATACATTAGGCCCTGGCCACCTGTGGCTTTCCAGCACTTGAAATGTGGCAAGTATGATTGAAGAACTGAATTTCTTAGTATTATTAAATTTTTAAAAATCGATTTCTATATAAATAACCACATGTGGATAGGGCTACTATTTTGTTGAACAGGGCAGTTCTTCAGCAGTGATGCTTAAAATGAGACCTCACAGCAGCAGCTCTAGATTACCTGGAAACTTGTGGGATATTCAGATTCTTGGGCCCCACCCTAGTCTTACCAAGTCAAAAACTCTGGGGCTAAAGGTCTAGCAATGAGCATTAGACAAGCCCTCCAGATGATTCTTGTGCATGCTAGAGTTTGAGAACCAGTGTTCTAAAGGAGAGAATAGGATGAAGAGCGAGGGGTATGTCAGAGAGCCTGACCAGGGATGTGAGGGGAGAAGGGGCAAGGTAAGGGGTAAAGGAGACTCCAATGTGAAGGTTGCAGGAGACCAATGATAAAAGCAATCTCCTCCCCATCGATTCCAGGAACTTGTTTAGACTGGGACCAGTTCCTGAAAAGCCAATAGTTGCTTTACCTGCTTGGAAAGCCTTGTGTGATTCGGCTGCCAGTGGTATAGAACTTTCAAGGCTTCCAAGGAAGGTGAGAACAGGATAGCTTCACAGAAGGAGGGACCCCTGCTTTGACCTTTGGGGCTCAGAAAGTTCCTCTGAATTTCAAACATTGGCTGAGAGAGGGAGACACAGCACATCACCATAACCAGGGTTTTACTCCTCTGGGTCCATCCCACAACCACCAGATCCCCCTCCCTGCATGCAAAGCTGATAGTGACTTTGCTGAAAAACTGAAGAAGGTATTTTGAAAATTTGGTCTTGCTGCATTTGGGGGTTAATGTGAGTTGGGAGACAAGCTGCTCATAGTTGTTAGACTGTTTTAAGAGTCCACTTATTATTCCTTCTACTTTCCCTCTCTATACTGCAGGGATGTCACAGTTGGGGGAAATAGACATTGGGAATTTAAGATGTTTATGTCCAGCTCACAAGATCACTGGTGGCAGCTCTAAGAATCAGTCCATTAGGCTTCTTCAGCCCCTGATGTATTTAACCTGGGAGCTTTTTGAACTCTGAGCATCATTTTCTTTAGCTTCCCCAGCAAGCTATAAATTAAGTAACCACACCCCCCGAAGACTGTTAGGATGCTTTCCTATTGTGTCAGACCCCAAGTGCACAATTACTAAACCACTCTGTTTTGTAAATACAGAGAACTATAGCACTCTGTGAACTCACGAGACTTTTGATATCTTAGCTTGTCGAAAGTTTCTCAAGTGAATTCCATGATTTGTTGTTGTTCCATTATCCATTGATTTCAATATATACTCTACTGAAGCTGGATGACTATGTTTTAATAATCAATTAATTATGAGCTCTGTTCTTGCATAAAAAATTAGTCAAAGCCTGCTGACCTTGTCTTTTCAGACAACTTATCTCTTCTTCCAATTTTTTCAAAAACCTAAACTTACCATGGTTTTCTTTGCCTTGAAAGGAATCCTTCCCATAAAAACTTTCCCCTCTATTTTTAAAATTTGCATTACACTTAGAGTGTAAACCCTGTTAAGTTTAATTTAATTAAACTTAATTCCAGAAATAACAGATCAAAGTTAACATAGAATTCTGCTGAGTGCCTGAGTTGGTGAAATTAAGAGTCATTTATAATGTTACTCTCTTGGGCTGAACTTAATCAAGAAAAATTATATGTGTTTTATGCTTTGCTTTCTGTTCTCCACAGCCTCCCCCATTTCCTCCCTCCCTGTGCGTCCCCCTCCTACTCCCCCACCCCCAATCTTTTCTCCTTTGGTGTGTGGCCACAGACAGAAATTTATGGCAGGGGCCAACCTCCTTTACACTCCACACAAAGCTTGCTGACTTGAGAGAGTTTGTTCGCTCTCTCCCAGAAAAAACACCTGCAGTACGCTCCCCAAGAAATCTGGAGAGATGGGAGATTAATGTGGCTGTAATAGCTAGGCAGTGTTTTTGGTATTATGCCCTCTCCCCAGGTAGATGGGTCTTTTCCGAGATGATACCAATTATTTATTGCTGAAACATCTGTTGATAACTGCAGCTGCCCTGTGAAACAAAGCATATCATGGGGTCACAGGCTATAGGGACCTAAAATCCTACCTCATGCTAGTTTGAGACTATTCAGTAACACCCTCAAGTCCATGGGTTACCATCATCTTTAATGTCTCATCATGCCCTAGAAAATACTTTGTAAACACTGCACTGCCCTGCCCTATAGGCTTTGAAGTATTATTTCATCTTCATCGGTAATTTATATTCCAGTGCCATTGTGCTGTGGGAAAAAGAGGGGGAACCTTTTTTGTTTTCCATTTAATTGTATATCTCCTGACACTTTGACCTGTATTATTAGTATTAGTCAGAAAAAGGATTTTCTCCCTCTCTTATTTAAAAATAAAATTTCAAGGGAAAGTAAGCGCTCCTTCAGCTCTTTTCACTAAAAACAATGTTTACACTCTAAGACTCTAAGGAAAGATGAAAAGCACAAGCGATTTTTTTCGAGTGTCGGAGAAGGGCATTTCAGTTTTTGAAAGAGAACAGTAAGGCCGTTATAAATATCATGCAGCAAAACCTTTGATGGATTTTTTTTTTTCCAAAAAGTATTGAAGGCATTTACTGCTAGCCTCTGTTTCACTTGCTTTTAGGCGGGCACAGTAGAGTTCTTACTAGTAAATCTATCCTTGCTTCTGAGATGCTAGGGAATGATGACACCAGCCTCAGGGTAGATGCCACCTTTTGTAATTTTTCCAGTAACTTTTATGCTTCTAAAAAGGATAATTTCTGCACAATTAAAGAAAATATGAAAATAAAACTTTTAAAAAGGAGATAAAGGACATGTTTGGATTTGCATGTCTGTGACAGTTGAGAGCAAGCTGGGTTGCCAGGCTAAGAAAAATTGTTGGATAGGCCCTGGTTTTGAGCATTCCCTGCAGATTTGGGGGTCCTGATCTTGGTGAGGAACTGGCCTCTCCTCAGTGGAGGGAGGGATCCTAAATTTAGTGTGGTGCCTCTGCAAAGAGATATACGGTAATTTTTAGAGGTTGGCTAACGTCAAGTCAAAGGACATGAAACAGTCTCAGAATGAGGATATTTTTTCCATTTTCTTTTCAACTGTATAACCATGAAAATGGTTAATCTGATAAGCTTTATTCCACAAGTATTTTTGGAAATATCTGTGCTACGTTGCAGTAATTTGAAGAAAGACCAAAAAAAAAAAAAAAAAAAAGATTAGTTGTTTTCATATGCTATCTTGGGTAAAAAACCTCTGTGGATGAATAAAGTTTGATATATTTAGCTTCCAGAATATTTTCCTAATATGTCTCTTCAGATAATCTTGGTGCCTTTAACTTGTTGATATTTTTATTTTTAAACTACTTAAATATTAAGGAATCAAAAGTTAAAACACAAATAAGCATGAATAAATATAAGAGTTGGTCAGTACAATATTGTGGGGAGGTGTTTTAAAAATGTCTAGTGTGATTAACCTAAGAGCAGAGAGGGGCAAAAGAGTCTTTACCAAAAGCTAAGTATAAATTTATTAGGAAATGAAAAGTCAAGTTGAAGAAAGATACATGATGTGAGGATTAGGTAAGGTGAGAGTCTATCCCTGGGAGCAATAAAATTCCCCTCCATGAATAAGTTCTGGATTAAAGAGGTTCTTAAAACTAATTTAAGACACATTTATTTCAGGTACCAGTTTTCATATTAAAAATAGAGAATTCAAAAGCAGTAATAGGTGATTTTTAGATTATGACTCTTTCAGCAAGTGATTTTTTCCAAACAAAATTTTCGTCTTAAACTATGTGCTTTGGGGTTTTAATAGCTGAGATCTTTTTCATCAGGATGTAAAAAACAAAATGAATGCAAGCTGCAAATTCATTCATTTATTCAGGAAAACTTTATTGAGTACTAACGTGTGCCAGACATTTGATA